ACAAATAAATAAAGATACATAAAATAATTATAAAAAAAGAAAGAAAAGCACAGAAGAGCTTCCATTGCCTTGAAGGAGAAAGACAATTCAACAGAGGAGAAAAGTGGGAGAAGGTGGCATTAGCCCAAGAAAGAACTGTGAACTCAATTTCCACGGTGAGGGTGCAGCGTATTCGGCCTACCACGTGTACCTGTGTGCACCTGTCATACGTGCATCTGGGCAGAGGGGGCATTGAGGGCAGGGAGGAGGACCAACCCCAGATGAAGTCACGAAAGTCAAATTCTAAGGAACCTTGTAAACCACAAATTCTCCAAGTGACTCCAGTGCAGGGTGTCTGGGGATCTTGCTGTGAGAAATCCTGCTCAGAGGATCTCCCTGCGCCGTACTTTGGAGGCAAACAGACATGAGTTCCATCTCAGCTCTGCCTTTAACGTGCCAGCTGTGTGATTTTGGACAGGTTGCGTAGTATGACCAAGTCTTAGTTTCCTCACCTGTAAAATGGGAATAACAAAGATGCTTATTGCTATGGTTTGAATTATAACCAAACTGGGACTTGATTATAGACTATAAAGATATAAAATGAAACCTTAATCCCTTCATGGTGTCCCAAAATAAGGTCTTAGGGTGTGATAAGCTGACTAGGGTAAGGCCTCTATTTGGGTTCAAATTCTGGTGGATTCTGCTTTGTTTTTTGTTTGTTTGCTTGTTTTAAGGATTAATTATTTAATTCCATTTGCTATTATTATTTTTTAATTTGACCAGAGAGAAACAGAGAGAAAAAGAGGGAAAAAGAAAGCAAGCCGCCAGGTCCAGGACTTGAAACACAGTCAGCCATTGGGAATCCAGTACCTTTAACACCACACCACCTCCCGGCCCCGAATTTTGCTTTGTTTTTTAGATTTTTTGCCATAGGAGATGTGCACTCACTGGAGAGAGACAGAGACAGAGAGAGAGAAAGTGAGAAATCACCCCCCATGAGGGATGGCCACACTGCAATCCCTTCTCTTCCACTTTCCTCCTAGGATTTCGGGCACAAACTTTCACATGCCTGGTGTGATTTTCAAGCCACCAGGTCTGGGGCTCAAACTGCAGTCAGCCATGTGGGATTCCAGTGCCTTAACTACCATGCTACCTACTGGCCCCTCCCATTTCATTTTAACTTCCGTTTTCCTCTTTTTTAAAAAAAAAAAAAAAAAAGAATTATTTTATTTAACTTTTTTTTTCTTAAATTTGACCAGAGGGGGATACAGTGAGAGAGTGAAAGTGAGAAAGCAAGCTGCTAGGTCTGGGACTTGAACTGTGATCAGCCATGTGGGAGTCCAGTGCCCTTAACCACCACACCACCTGCTGGCCCCCCATTTTCCTCTTATAACTTCCGTTTACTTTCCCGTCCTCCTTGTTGTATTGCTTAGCTCTTGCCACAATAACTAACCACCCAAAACCTAGTGATGTAAAACAACAACCATTTATTAGTGCTCACAAATCTATAGGTCAAATGGTGGGTTCTTCTGGTCTGAGCCAGGCCTGGCTGATCTCAGCTGAACCGTTTGCAGTCAGCTTGGGGCTCAGCGACGGCAGTTGGTCCAGGATGGCCTCACTCACACTTCTGCTGGTTGGCACTGGCTATTGGCCGGGGAAGTGCAGGAACAGGGCCATGCATCACTCATCCATTATCCAGCAGGCTCATAAACAAGGTGGTGGCTGCAGGGTTCTCAACAACAAGATCAGGCAAGCCACAATGTGCAGCCACTTTTCAAGTTTCTGCTTGTGTCACGTTTTCTCCCTGATCCATTGGTCAAAGCCAGTTACAAGGCTAGCCTGGGTTCCAGAAATGGAGAAATACAGTCCATCTCACAATGAGAAGAGCTGCGAAGTCACAGAGCCAGGACAAGAGAACAGGGAAGGGAAGAAAGAATTAGTGATTATTTTGCAAACCATCCTACTGTTTTTTTCCTGCTACATAATAAATTTTAAAAAATTATTAAAGCTGACTGGCAATCTTTAAAATGTTTCAATTTATTTCTTCCATGACAAGGAGTGGTGTCTCTAACAGCATCTTCACACTGCAGTCTACTCCTAGTCTCAGCCAGCCTGGATCCCAAGCACGGGTGCACATCCAGTAGGCCCAGGGGCGCTACAGGATGCAAACCCGGGACTCTTTCCATGTGGGCCAGCTGGGATCCCATGGCAAGACCACCTGGCCCCAAAAGCTGGTTAATGATCTCTGAGGCCAGACATAATATGCTTCTACCAAATGTGCGTAGCTGCGCCTCTACCAGGAGATCACAGTACCTTTTATTAGTCTAAAGTGGCTTTGCAAAGAAAAAAAAAATTAACAGATACAAAAGTGAAAATTGGGAACCAGCAGTTAGCATAATGGCTATGTCGCTGGACTCCCACATAGTCGACTGCGGTTCGTGTCCCGGACCTGGTGGCTTAAAACTCACGCCGGGCGTGTGTGCGTGCATGCCCAAGATCCCGAGAGGAGAATGGAGGAGAAGGGATTGCGGCGTGACCATCCCCCCTGGGGGGTGATTTCTCGCTTTCTGTCTCTATGTCTCTGTCTGGCGAGCGCACGCGCCCTACAGCAAAAACCTCTCAAAAAAAAAAAGTGAAAATTATCTGTTGATGATAATGAAAGTGGTAATATCTTTGACTCAACTGATATGCGCTGTATTCATGCTGAGGAAAAACTTTAAAAAAAATTTTTTAACAGGTTTTTGTCATAGGACATGTGCTCTTGCCAGAGAGAGAGAGAGACACAGAGGCAGTAGGAAGGGAGGAGGGGGCTGGCCAGACTGCAATCTCTTCTCCTCCATTCTCTTTCTGGGATCATGGGCATATGTGTACACATGCCTGGTATGATTTTGAAGCCACTAGTCTGGGACGTGAATTGCGGTCAGCCACATGGGAGTCCAGTGACTCTGCCATCTGCTGACCCTGAGAAGAAACATTTTTTTAAAAAAAGAATTATTTAACTTTTTTTAAAGAATTATTTGAACTTTATTTATTTATTTTAATTTGACAACAGAGGGACAGGGAGAGAGAAAGAGGGAAAGCGAGGAAGCAAGCTGCCAGGTCCAGGACTTGAACCATCGTCAGTCATGTGGGAGTCCAGCGCCTTTAACCACCACACCACCTGCTTGCCCCTATTTTATTTAAGTTTATTTACTTTTTTTTTTTTTTAGAGGTTTTTGCTATAGGGCACGTGCACTCACCAGAAAGACAGAGAGACAGAAAGTGAGAAATCACCCCCCGGGGGGGATGGTCATGCCACTCCCTTCTTCATTCTCCTCTCGGGATCTTGAGCATGCACGCACATGTGCCCTGCGTCAGTTTAAGCCATTGGGTCCAGGACTCGAACTGTGGTTGACTATGTGGGAGTCCAGCAACATAGCCATTATGCTAACTGCTGGTCCCTATTTACTTATTTTTAATTTGATCAGAGAGGGACAAAGTGAGTGAGGGCAAGCGAGAGAGAAAAAGTGAGAAAACAAGCTGCCAGGTCAGGGACCCGAATGGCAGTTGGTCATGTGGGGGGTCCAGCGTCCTTAACCACCATGCCACAGGCCAGCCCCAGAAAAAAAACATTTTATATGTACAGTGATTAAATGTAATTTTAAAAATTTAACACAAGAAAAGGGGAAAAATGAGGAGAAAGTGGCTTTTCACTAGGGGGAAAGAACTCCTGAATTATCCATCGCCAATTCCTGACCAGTGGCTGTCAATTTTTAGGCTGAGATCCATTAGGAAGAAACTTATTTTATGGGACCAGCAGAAAGCATAATGGTTACGTTGCTGGACTCCCACGTAGTCAACCACAGTTCGAGTCCTGGACCCAGTGGCTTAAGACTCACGCTGAGCCCATGTGTGTGCGTCCCGAAAATCCCGAGAGGAGAATGGAGGAGAAGGGATTGTGGCGTGGTGGCGTGGTCTGCCCCCCGGGGGGGGGGGGGATTTCTCACTTTCTGTCTCTCTGTCTCTCTCTGTCTCTACAGCAAGCACACATTGCCCTATAGCAAAAATCTCTCTAGAAAATAAAATGAAAAGAAATTTATTTTGCATCACCCAGAATACACACACACATACATGTTCCATACATGATACTACTATCATATCACATTAGAATGCGTTCTAATATTTTCTATTACATTTAAATTCATTTTTTAAAGTTAGTTATGACCCATTAAATTAATTCGGTACTCACTAAATCTGTAGTTTGAAAAGCATTATCATAACTGACGCCAAGAACACCTCTTTTCTAGGCAAAAGGAGTGCGGGTGTGAAGAGTCTGAGTTTGCAGCACGTACAGGACCAACTGAGATCTTCTTAGGTGTGAGATGAGGCGGGAAGGCAGGCAGGAAGGTCTGCAGGCGGCAGCAGGGTGCTCGGGACTTATTTTAATTGAAGCTCCCAGTGGTTTTCAGCGGCGCGGGGCGGGGTGGGGGGAGTAACATGACATGATGTATTTTCCAAAATAGTTTCTCCTGACCTCATGCACAGCCCAAGGATGATTCCAGAATGACCTAATTTTCTCTAAATTTAAAATAAGCCTCGAATGACTTTGAAAGCCTTCTATAGTGGAACCTCTCACTCGCCCCGAATTCATTCACTCAAATCCATTTCTCGGTTCCCTTCCCTATAGAAGGTCTCCCATTCTCTGCTGAGCACGTCTAGCGAAATCTCCCAGAATCCTCCTCTCAAATCCAGTACTTTTACTACCCTTCTATCACTGAGGAGCCACCTATTGCCAGCAGGTGGCACGGTGATTAAGGAAGCTGGAGCCTACACGGCCGACTGTGTGGTTCAAGTTTTGGATCCAGTGGCTTGAAAAACACGTTGGGCGCACGTGCATGTGTGCCTAAAATCCCACAAGGAGAATGGAGAAGGGAGTGCAGAGTGGCCATCCCCCGGGGGGGGTGCTTTCTCCCTTTCATCTCTTTCTCTGTCTCTGTCTCCAGTGAGCAGCCATGCCATGTAGCAACACCCCGCACACACACCAGGCGAGAACACGAATGCAGTCCACCACTACCACAAACTACGCAGTCAAGTTTCCCACGTTTGGGGGAATGGCAGGGGTCAGCACATCTGGAGTGTCATGGATAAGCCTTGCCCTGGGAAAACCACCCTTGTCATGATGGGATCTCCCCTGCCAGGTGAGTATTCTTTTTTTAAAAAAAAAGAATCCAGGGGGACCAGCAGTTAGCGTAATGGCTATGTCACTGGACTCCCACGTAGTCGACCGCGGTTCGAGTCCCGGATCCGGTGGCTTAAACTCACGCCGGGCGTGTGTGCGTACGTGCCCAAGATCCCGAGAGGAGAATGGAGGAGAAGGGATTGCGGTGTGGCCATCCCCCCTGGGGGGTGATTTCCTGCTTTCTATCTCTCTGTCTCTCTCTCTGTCTGTCTGATGAGCACACGCGCCCTATAGCAAAAACCTCTCAAAAAAAAAAAAAAAAAAAGAATCCATGTATTTGCTGGCCACGCTGCCCTGCTGGCTGGAGTCCTGCATGCCAAGGGGTTCTTCTCGTCCAGATTTGCAGTACTGGTGGTTTAGTTTGGGCAGCTGGCTCTTTGCAGCTTGGACACAGGTCTTCTCTCCCAGTGGGGGTCTCCCTGTCTGCGAGGACATCCACAGCCATGCTGTTGGGAGTTGCCACGCATGGTTGAAGCTGTTGGGTCCCACAGACTGAGAAGGGACTGGGGGTGGGGGCGGGCTGCCTGTGGGACAGGAGGCACTTGAATTTCCCAGGCCTGGGCCTCCTTCTTGGCTGGTCCCCAGGAGATGAGTTCCAGCTGTTTTTCTTTCCTTAATCCTCCTCCTCTCTCTACCCCCCTTTCCAGTTGGGCCCCTTTCTCCTCCCTCCTCTGGCCAACTCCTGAGCCAGGCAAGAATTCTGGTGTAAAACATCATTGTCAGAGAAGAGGAATCCAGGGAATGAATGGAGAGCTGAAAAGCAAAAAGGGATCTTCTCCTCTCTGGAGGCTGGTTCCGTGAATCTGTTATCTCTTGCTTGAGAAAAATGACAGGACACGGCAAACACAGTGAAATGCGTGCTCCTCCCACCAGGAACCCCCTTGACCTCCTCCGTCCCCCCACGGCCCCTTCCCACACTAATGACTTGACCCCAGCCTGTGGAGAGCATCCAGCCAGATTTGTTTACTTTCTGGTTTCCAAAATAGACACTTTCCAGCCTAGGGGCAGAGTTACTCTTAGGGAAGGGAGAGTGGGGAAAGAGGAGCAGAAGGCAAGAAAGAAGTTGCCTTGAAAAGTGGGGGGACCAGCCAGTCTGCACATTGTAAAGGTTGAGGAAAAGGGTTTCACATTCACTTCAGACCTGACCTACACTGTCTCTGCCGGGTACTCTGTGTGAATTAGAGTTGGCTGTTTTAACCTCTCCAAGGCTCTGTTTTCTCATCTATAAAGTGGGTGGGTTTGTACACAGCGATTATCCCTAATCAGAAAATCCAGGATCCAGAACACTGCAAAATCTGAACTTTTTAAGGACCGACATGGTGCCACAAGTGGAAAACTTCACGCCTGACCTCATGTGTTAGATCCTAATCAGAAAACACTGCAAGCAAAAGATACTATGGGGGCAGCTGGTGGCATGGTGGCCATATGGCTGGCTCCCATGTGGCCAGCTGTGGTTCGGTCTCAACCCAGCGGCTTGAAAAGCGCACCGGACGCATTCGCGCGCATGCCCAAAACCCCAGAAGGGGAAATGGAGGCATGGGACCGCAGCATGGGAGGTACTTCCTCACTTTCCTCCTCTTTCTCGCTGTCTCTCTCAAGCAAGCACACGTGCCCTCTGGCAAACTATGGGGGGAGAAAAAAAGAAAGAAAAGAAAAATGTGTAAAATTACCTTCAGTCTATGTGTATAAATATGTATATACAATAAATGAATTTTGTATTTAAGATATCTCATTATGTACGTGAAAATACCCCCAAATCTGAAAAACTCCAAAACACTTCTGATTCTAAGCATTTCAGCTAAAGGATACTTAACTTGTCCCTGCGTCTCAAGGCTCAGAACGAAATGGGGACTTTTTTTGGGTATGTGCTCCACCAGAGAGAGAGACAGAGACAGAGAAGGAGAGGGGAAAGCATTCCCCAGGAGGAATGATCACGTTGCAACCCCTTCTCTCCATCTCTCCCTCCTTTCAGGACCCTGGGCACTCACACAGGCGTGTGGTCTGCTTCTCAAGCCATCAGGTCAGGACTCGAACCTCATATGGGATCTAGGTGCTGTAACCACCAGGCCACAGACCCAGCCCCTAAGCGGGACACTTGACGTAATTATGGTCTGTTCTAGTAAGTGCTTGACAAATGATAGTGTTGTTAAAATTAATATTATCCATGGAAAGAACACATCCAAATAGGAGTCGGCGGGTGTTTCAAAGGGAAGAAACACAGAAGAGCAGCTCTCAAGGGGAGCTTTAGAAAGGCTAGCTTTTATCAGTTTAATACTGTATGTCTTTTTTTTTTTTTTTAAATCTTGCCATAGAGTACATGCACCCCCAGAGAGAGACACAGAGAGAGAGGAGAGGCAAGTGAGAAAGCACTCCCCATGGGAGATGGCCAGGCTGCATCTCTTCTCCTCCGTTTTCCTCCTAGAATTTTGGGCATACATGCACATGGACCCAGTGTGTTTGTTAAGCTGCTGGTCCAGGTCTCGAACCAGATGGTTGACCGTGTGGACCCAGCCAATTTAACCACCACGTGACAGGCTGACCCAGTATTAGATGACTTTGAAGGTCAGATCTGTTCGTTTTCCAGTGGCTCTCATATCTCATATGAGATATCTTATGAGTCAGGATCTTTTGAAGTGTGTGAAGGAAGAAAAATGAATAGATACATTTATCCCCATTTCACTGAGGAGGAAATCGAGGCCCGGGAGATGATGATAAAACAATGAATGTATGGGGCCAGCAGGTGGCTCAGTGGTTAAGGCGCTGGACTGCCGCAGAGCCAATCTCTGTGAGTCCCAGACCCAGCAGCTCGGTTCTCACGCCCAGAACATGTGTGTGCATATCCCAAATCCCGAGAGGAGAATGGAGGAGAAGGGATTGCAGCGTGCCCATCCCCCTGGGGGGGGTAATTTCTCGCTTTCTGTCTCTCTGGCGAGTGCATGCCCTGTAGCAAAAATCTCTCTTAAAACAAAACAAAACAAAAACCAGAGTACTTGATAGACTGAAACATAATGCACAAAAAAGTGCACAGGATCCCAAGGGTCCTAACTCTTTACCGTTCTCTCCACTGCATCTCAAAAAAGGAAGACAAACTAGCTAACACGTGAAGAGAGACTGTCCCAAATCTAGGCGGATGGAAGAAAGCCTCAGGTGTGAGTTTAACAATTTGTGTGGTGCGTTCTCAAGTCTCAGAGGCTGTGAGAAGGAAGGGGCAGGCTGGAACAGTTAAGGCCAATTCAGTGTCTCCGGAAGGAATGTCTGAGGATGGCACCCACAGGAATAATCGATTTTAAATAAGAGCGAAACATAAATAATCCGAAAGCAAAGCAAATTAAGTAATGGAAATATCCCCTGATGACAATCCTTTGGAAGACAAGTCAAGCTTAGAAACAAAGAGACCATTCCCAAAAGCATACAGCTAGGGAGTTGTGTTTTCAGATCTTCAAAAGCTAACGGGTCTTAGCCCTTCCTTTCAAGCCCTATAAATAATGGATTGGATTTCAGCCAGGAAGACCACATAACCAATTCTGGATCCCAATCAGTGATGTTGCTAATAAGAACCAAGAGGAGCAAACTGAGAGTGGGTTACTCACTGAAAAGAAACATAAATCAGAAATCAGACTTGTGTGGGAAGATGCCAGAATTATGCCGCTGCACATCTGGTCCTATATTCTCTTTGGAAGGCTTCTGAGCAACACTTTTTTTTTCTTTTTTAATCTCAATCTGTTCGCCTAGTGGGTCCTTCTGAGTGTTCTTTGAATAAAATTAAAACCATTTCCTCTCGTTTGGCCATCTGCTTGTTTACTGCAAGCACCTTAAACTCAACATGTCCCAAAATAGAAACTAGAAGTCGTCCTCTCCCCAGCAAGCACGTTCACCCTCCTGTGTTCCCCGTCCCAGGAGTGCTTCCTTCCACCCGGTCACCCCTCCCAGGAGCCTGAGTGTCCTCCTAAGGCGCTCTTTTTCCAAAATGCCATTCTTCCTGTAAGTCACTACGTTCTGTCAAGTCTTCATCCTACATCTTTTTCATACATCACTCTATCTCTTCTTGTTCTCACCTGGTTCAGGACACCACCTTGGCTCGCCTGGATTGCTAAATAATAGATATGAAGACCTCACTCTTCCCCCCTTCACCCCCAACTGCTGGGACTCTGCCCTGGCCCAGGCCTCGGCAACCCGACAGTGTCCCCAGGATTCCCAGGGTGCTCAGTGCAGTAAGCCACTCTCCCAGAAGTCTCCTTACTGCCCAGAGCTGAGCTCCAAAGCCCAGAGAAGGGAAAGCTGTAACTCAGCCAGGGAGACAGCAACCGGGACCTCAGTGGCCCTACAGATAAACAGACACAGTTGCCCTGGTCATGTGCCTTGATTCTGCAGCATCTTAGCTCACTCTCACTGTGCTGTTAACTGTGTGGTAAGATGTGCACGAAGTCTCCTTACTGCCCAGAGCTGAGCTCCAGAGCCCAGAGAAGGGAAAGCTGTAGACTCACCCAGGGAGACAGCAACCGGGACCTCAATGGCCATACAGATAAACAGACACAGTTGCCCTGGTCATGTGCCTTGATTCTGCAGCATCTTAGCTCACTCTCACTGTGCTGTTAACTGTGTGGTAAGATGTGCACAACAGGGCCAGCAGGTGGCGTGGTGGTTAAAGACATTGGACTCCTACATGGCCAACCATGTTTCAAGTACTGGACCTAGCAGCTTGCTTTCTCATTTTCTCTCTCTGGTCAAATTGATGAATTAATGCGATCAACAAATGGTGTAATAGTTAACATTGCTAGACTCCCAAGTGGTCGACTGCAGTTCGAGTCCTGGACCCAGCAGCTTAAAACTCATGCCGTACGCATGTACATGCATACCTAAGATCCTGGGAGGAGAATGGAGAAGGGATTGTGGTGTGGCCATCCCTCTAGGGGGTGATTTTTCGCTTTCTATCTCTCTGTCTCTCCAGCGAGCACACATGCCCTATG